TACCAAGGGCTGCAAAGCACCTGACTGTGCTGATGCCCTGGGCAAGATGCTCCTCCGTGTTATTCCAATACCAGAGTCAGGCTTATGTAACTGATTAAATAAATTTTTAAAAAAACAACAAAAACACCCTACTCTTCGTCTTACATTTCTGATCATACAAGTGTACCTGTTGTGCATTACCCACGCTGCTTCAAGGCCTCACTTGGACTTGGTTGCATTTATTCTTATGTGATCTCCCTCCCCCAGGGCCACTGCTGGCCACAGAGTTCCCTATATTGAAAAGAACGAAAATGCTATATTCTTCTTGAGAAACATTTGGAGGCTCTAATTGTCTCCCTAGGTTTCTATGACAACCACAGCAACATAAACAGCCTTGCTGGCAGCCACAGGAGACTGAAAGCTCTGCTCTCTTCCAGCCCCTCCCCAGAACTTCCCCATTTAGAACATACCATAACTGAATAAATATGATTAACAATAAACATAGAGGTGGTGTCTAGTACACCAGGCTGGCACTGGGGAAACTTCTTGCAAATAAAAATACATTACAGTACTTATGATAGTCAAAACATTGCCTCTTAGAGCAGTGTTATCAAAGTACCTGGGGATCAGCTGTGAAGAACAGAGCAAAGCTATAAATATATAAACAGGAGGGTTTTCTATGTCAGCTTGCATGGCTGCAGAGAGCTTTCAAAAAATACGACAAGGCCTTCTCTGCCGGTGCCTCTAAGCACCTCTCACCTCGTTGGCAGGTTACGCACCAGGAATAGGTAAACCCCTGAGCGAATGTCAGGATGGTCGGGGTTAAGGCAGCTGCAGAGCTACATGGCTGCGTGCAGATCGTGTGATGTGACTGTAGGCACCTCTCCATGGCTGCGGCTTCCAGCTTCCCAGCAGGAAAATCATAAACAAAATGTGATCACAGCAGCAACGAAATGCTCTGCACGGCACCATCAATCTGAGCCCAGCAGAAGCCGGTTCATCAGGCAGGACAGTCAGAGCTGCTGCTTCTGCTAACGCTCTGGCAAACTGAGGCCCAACGAATCGCAAGCAAACAGCTCAGGTGTCCCTCCTGCCCTGAGCAAAGTTAATGGCAAAATAAATTGGCCATATCAGGCCAGTGTAACTCTGGAGGTTTTAAGCCATTTAAACCCATTCAGCCAACACTGGATGGCATGAAGGCATCAGAATACACAGGAGTTGTAAAGAGGCTGCATGGGATAATCACAGTTGTCAGATGTCCATAGATCACCAAATCATCTTTCAAACTGTTAAACCAGTTTCTGATCATACAAGTGCCATGTAATTTTAAAATAACTGCCACTGTACATCCAGCACGTGACAAAGTAACTTTGCGAAATGAAGAGATGCAATGTCAAGCCATCAGCACAGATGTAACTTCTTCCTCAGTGAAGCTGTGAGTTTGTCTCAGGCACATGTTGTCCCTCCACTGCCAGGAAGGTACAGGCGATTTTCACTGCTCCAAGACACAACTGGGGATGTCACCACGCCATTCTCACTGCAGCAGTCCTCTCACCTAGAGAGCGAATCCTGCGGCTTTGTGGGACCAGTTTTGCTGTAAAACAGCCTCAGGATTTGAGGAAGGAGAGCTGGGCGGGTACGTGAATGTGAACCCTTGGAAGCCAAAAACTATCAGGCTTCCCTCTGGACCCGTATGCAGAAATACACGTATCTACGAGGAGGAGGAGGTGGAACACTTGCCTGTTTCACAGGGCTTGGAAAGCACAGAAGGTGCCACCTGACATTTCACAGCTTGAAGGACCGGCTTTCAGAAAACTGCCTGATTACACAGACCAGGTGGAGGCGAGATCAGAAATAAACGCAATAAACACTAGAAATGGGGATGAACATCCACATTTCTTTTTGAAAAGATTGTATCTTTCATCGATATTCCTTCTTAAGGCAGGACACTCACTCTAGGGACTAGCAACATCACAAATGTAAAATTGTTCTGTTTTCTCTTCAAAGATTTTGAACAGGGTCCTTACGCTACAAAATTATTGTACAGTACAGAAATATAACACTTTGCAATATGGAAAGGAAATATTTCTTCTTTCCTACCTAATTTGCTCCAACAGGCTGTACAGCAAGGAGTGCTATGTGAGAGTGAATCATGAATATAAAAGGATTACTGATGCCCACATTTACTACGTTATACAATAACACTGACCAATAAATATAGTTTGATTTTATCTATTGAGTATTTGTAACAAGTTTATGTCTCCACTTACGTGTTCCTGTGTGCTAGTAAGATTTTGCTAACTACAGACATGCTACTTCCAATTACAGCATATGTGAAATGAATGTTAACTTGGAGTACCAAGAGAGATCTGTTACCTTACAAATACGAGAGCCCAAGTGCTGGTGAGCACATCAGGATATTAGGTCGTATGTAAGGTATGTTGTATAATGCCCCACTGAAGACAGTCACAGAAAAAGCAAGAAGGATGAAATCTTGTTGTTTTCACAGTTATTTATTAATAAACAGTAATAACCCCAAAATGTCCACAGTGCTTTTAAATTAGGATTACAAAGAATATAAGATACCCTCCTCTGCATCTGGAATGAGCTACTGGGCATAACATTCTAATAGTACTGAAATCAAAAGGAGGGCAATTTTAGAGTAATTTTAAATTAATGAGTTTACAATTAGTAGATATTTTCATGCCTTGCAACCTCCATCCAGTATGACTCACTGTCACTAAGGTACTTGGTTTTAACTTCTGAGAAATACACATGAAAGTTAAATAAATGAATTAATAAATAAAGTCCAAACTACCACATGAACCTTTGCATATTTCCCGAGTATGTTTATGGCGTGTGGGTGGCATAGACGAATTATGGCAAGGAGGTTTTAGCAACAGTTTTTACACATTTTATCAGCAGTAATTATATAATTCCCTTACGGCACTGAACCATTCTGAACTCTAATCCAAGCCCTAATCATTATTAAAGTATTGATACAGCCCTTACAGAACGTTGCTCCAACTCATAAAGCCATTCCTTAAGAACAGTCAACAGTTAAGAAAACTTCAAGACTGCTGTGACTGTTCACAGAGAATCTTTGTGCTGCTTCAGAAGGTGCGATGTATTTTGCAGTTGCATTGGGACTTTTCCATGAATGCACACCATTTTACAGCCTAAGTGCAACATATGGCATGACGTTGCTTTTAAGCACAGGAACACAAAAATCTGTGGCCAGAAACCATGCTTTTGACAATTTGAACTTGTTCAGATTTTTATGATTTTAGATTATTCAGCTAAGCTACTCGGTTTCTTTAGTAGACCAATAATAAAAGTGTGATTTAATTAAAGCATTTTAAAAGAAAATTAATTCAGAGGTCTTCAAGGGTATACCTAGGGAATATGCCCCTCAAATGAATGAAGACAGCAGGGAAAAGTGATTTTCCTAATTACTAGTGTACTTCTGCTGTACTTTCTAAGTGGCAGACTACACCAAACCCACTGCATACATCAGGGTCAATGCTTTTATTTAGAACAGTTCTTACAATGTAATCACCCATTTTTGACAGGGCCAAGTTATTTTTTTTTCTTCCAGAACATCCTAAAGTAACATTTTATGTGAAAGCAAAAGTGTTTTCAAGAGCATAAAATACACTGTCAGTAGCGTACAATACCGGAAAATCTTGAAAAGTGACATACCTGCCCCACGCTGCTTTCATTGTAGAATCTGTATCAACAGGAATGCACGAGGACTCAACAACACTTGATTTATTCAATTTGTAGCAGAGACCACAGTCTGGATCTAACATACATCCATTACAGTAACTGAAAGAGAAAGAATTAAATACTTCAGCCACACTTTATTCATTTGTACATTTGTCAAAATCAACAGCATCTACTGATCAATCTTGGGATGCACATAGTGAAGTTGTCAGTGTTGGAGACAAGATAATAGAAACTGCCCACAAACCAATACAGATTGCTTTCGCTTTCTTCTGCACCACATTTTGTTGGTCCAGTTGCAAATCTCAGTGACACTTGATCAGGCTGGAGAACTCACTCATGGAATGAGTTTTAATTAAAAAAAGGCAGACTGGGGTTGAAAAGAAAGAATCACACATCATATCTAATACTCAAACTAGGATTTAGGCTTATACAGGTGTGGGAGTCAGTCTGAGATCACAACACCATGTGTCTCCATGTGGGACCTCAGCGCCCGAGTTCCCGTTATACTCGATGGACGGAGTCAATATGCCAGTGGAGCCAATCCACAGACAGGCCCCCAGTGCCCCATAATACCATACCCCACCTGCCCTTCGCCCGTCTCTGCAGAGTGTGCAGTGCTCCTGCAGATCACTCCCGTGCATCACACTTGCCAGCTCTGTACAGACACCTCTGATTTGCTTGGGAGTCTCAAGGAGCAAGAGATGCTTACATTTCAGCAAAGTTTCCCCAACGCCACCTTGCAAGCTATGCAGGTGACTCACCAGTAGAACTGTCCTCCAGACTCCACAGGTTGCTCTGACCGCATCCCCACTGACTACTGGGATGCCAGATGCCAAGTGCCCTACAGATACTTCACCTAGGCTGGCAGTCTGAAACCTGCCCCTGTGAAACAAACGGAGTGGGATCTGGGCATGTGAGCTACGAAGGTATTCCAAATCCCTTCATGCAGCACAAGCTATCTGAAAGCTTCTGGCATGAGCTTCCCCAGACCTTGCACATGCTCAATATCACTGCTATTGTGGTTAACCTACCCAGCTGTTCACCTTCCCCAGAAGCCATCTCCGATTTAGAGATACATTCTCATCAGCAAAGCCCTTCATCTATTCTGAGGGGTAACTTTAAGAGTTAAAAGTAGGAGAATGAAAAACTGTAAAACATGGAATACATCCAGAAATTTGAAATTAAAATTAAACTTCAAAATGTAACATCTGGAAATGTATAATTAAGGTGATAAAAATAGCTTCAACATATATCCCTGTAACAATAAAACCAACGAAATAATCCTTTCTGAGTGTGTATCTTCACCATAACAGTGACTTAGTGAATGAAGAAATAATCTGCTTTGACTACTATGCCATTATGAGAAAAAGTAAAAGTAACTGTATAACAAAGTCCCCAGAAACTAAAACAGTAAAGCAGATCACATGGACTTAAAAAGTCTGAAAGTACATGCTTAAAGTCTAGTCATTCAAAATTATCTTACTATGATGTTTCTAAAAGAGTTATAATAAGGTCAACACATATGGCAGTTGGCAAAAAAAAGGGCTAGAAAGTGTTAAAACCAACATATTCATTTCCATGTTCCTACTTCCAAGGTTCAGAAATTTGTGCTCTTTGTTATCGTGTGCTTTCTAAATTATCAAATTACTGCAGAATTTCCATGTTGTCTACTTTTGAGGAAATAAATCTATTTTAAGTACACATTCATCTTGTTTAACTGACAGGTCAAATTCAGGTTTGAACAGCTTCTGTTTTTTTTATATTAGGAAAGCCACATTAAATCAGCTCTTTAAATAGAGATATAAACTGTAGAAAACATTTTTACAATGGAGATGAAATAAAACTTTCAGGTAGAAGTCAATCACCTAACTGTAGCAAACATTTCTTCTCTTGCAAAGATAAACAAGCAAATGATAACTCTGCAATTATCAATTATGAAAGGAAAGGACAATTCCAATATTACATTAGCAAGACTCAGCTACATTTTACCAATATTAGGACAGCAATGGGCAGCAATCAAAACAGTTGACAGGAACAGAAGACTGCAGATGAATAAAAATATTCTTACAAATCACATGTGTGTTAAAGTATCACAGAATCACAGAATGGTGAGGGTTGGAAGGGACCTCTGTGGGTCATCTAGTCCAACGCCCCTGCCGAAGCAGGGTCACCTACAGCAGGCTGCACAGGACCTTGTCCAGGCAGGTCTTGAATATCTCCAGAGAGGGAGACTCCACAACCTCTCTGGGCAGCCTGTTCCAGTGCTCTATCACCCTCAGAGGGAAGAAGTTCTTCCTCATGTTCAGATGGAACTTCCTGTGCTTCAGTTTGTGCCCGTTGCCCCTTGTCCTGTCACTGGACACCACTGAAAAGAGTCTGGCCCCATCATCCTGACACCCACCCTTGAGATATTTGTAAGCATTTATTAGGTCCCCTCTCAGCCTTCTCTTCTTCAGGCTAAACAAGCCCAGCTCCCTCAGCCTCTCCTCGTAGGAGAGGTGCTCCAGTTCCCTCATCATCCTCATAGCCCTCCGCTGGTCTCTCTCCAGAATTGCCAATGCCAGAACTGAACTACGTGTCCCCTGTTCTGTCCCATGGGGCTCGCTCTACAGGTAACTCCACATCACCTCCGATGGTGTGGGGAACCAGTCAATTGTGAAGCAGAAGGTACGTTATTTATTCCTCCCTCCCCATCCAGCAGTCCAGAAAAAACTGAAGAAATTTGATTATAGATTCCCGTGGCTGCCTACATGGCTGTTAATTCAGTTGTTCCTCAGGCTTTACTGGTAGGCCCAACTGCGTCTTCCAGCTGGCATTCAACATAACAAAGGCTGCTGGATTTCATGCCATGCCAAATGTCAGAGCTTATAGTTACTCATAACAGCGTAAATAATTTAAAATTATTATTTTCCACAGGTTTTCTGAAGCTTGTCTTTCAAGTTGAAAAGTTGAATAACAAATATTTAAAAACCCTTGACCTTCAGCTTAGGATTTTCTGCATTGAGCTATACAGTGAGTTCATACAATCAGGCTTTCACTTTCTGTTTTAGAGACAAGACAAACTTATGTCAGAGGAAGCACAGAAATTCAATATACAAGACTTAAAGCTAACTAACTCTCAGCAGACTTAGGGTAGGTGGTTGCTGTCCAGACCATCTAGCATTCTTCTGTGCCCCATTTTATCACCGAGATAAAATTTTTCTGCTGAGTTTGATGAGGTAGATAGTCACCGATTTTTCCAAGATGATGTTTTTTCCCTCCAAAATTCCAACACATACACATTACAACTGTTTCATAACACAATAAAGAAATCTGTATCTGTTAATAAAGACTAATGATTGCTGAAGATACAGCACAAAATAAGAAAGATTTTATTTTTTTAAGGAAGCAATTTAAAAACAACCAAAAAAATCATATGCTGAGGCTGTTTACTGTAAATTTCTCTCTCAAAAAAATGGAAATAAAATACATAATAGTTTCAGGCTTATGCTCTTCTTCACTCTAGCCCCATTATTATTTGCTAAACAAAAATATTTAAACAATTTGAAATTAAGCACATATTCTTACATGCATGCTCACAGTGATGTAAATAAATTAGGACACACAATATACTAGGAAAATAAATGCTTCTTATCAGCCCTACTCAGATATACCCAAATACATGTCTGAGTATAAATCTATAAAAATACTGACACTTCTTCAAATCTACACCACAGATTAGTTATGGCCTTCAAAGCTTTATACCAGAATACTCCAGGATGTCTGTGTTAAGAAGGAAATTTGCATCCAATTATAAATGGGAGATATGTTTCCTGTACTTTATCATTAAATATTTATATCCCTGCTAAGGTTATGAGCTAGTGTCTTGGAAACAGTTTACTTTGTGAAGAGCCAGTTGAAAATTCCCAGTCAGGATGGTTCTCAATCAGAGGCTGACAACTCCTCAAGACTGAAATACCTGACAGAGATGATTTGATTTTGATGAAACCAGGCAGCATTACAGCAGCAAGGTTTCACAACATGCCTAGTTCCCTCCCTGCTTACCAGCTGGGCTCCTAGGCAACCCAACAAGAACGCAAGTGTCTAGACTTCAGATGCTTTAGCCTATGCAGCAGAATAACAACAACGAGGAATGTGAGGCTCCGAAAGTCCAAAGACGCTCAGCTTCTTCGCAGCTCAGTGGCATGAAGTCTATAAAATAAAATCTGAGCAGCTTGGCCCATCAATTCATTGGGAACTGCCATGGAATGGGATTTCGGGGTTCCTGCCTCATTGTCCGGCCACATTTACTGATGAGCTGACGGACCGTTAGCAGACTAGATATCCCTAAACCTGCAATTCCTAACTCTGATTCTGCCAACTCAGTCAAGGCTTCCATGCTCTTATGTCCTTTTCATTTGACCAAACGGGAATATCTGACCCCTAGAAAGCCTGACAGCACTAACTTCGAGGTCTCTTGCCAGCAATTTCTTGCCAACCTGAGCACCACCAGCTTTCAGGGTGTTCTGCTCTGGAGCAGCCTACCTGAGGTTACATACACACACATTAGGACACGGGGCAACGGGCACAAATTGAAGCATAGGAAGTCCCGTCTGAACATGAGGAAGAACTTCTTCCCTCTGAGGGTGACGGAGCCCTGGAGCAGGCTGCCCAGGGAGGTTGTGGAGTCTCCTTCTCTGGAGATATTCAAGACCTGCCTGGACGCGGTCCTGTGCAGCCTGCTGTAGGTGACCCTGCTTTGGCAGGGGGGTTGGACTAGATGACCCACAGCGGTCCCTTCCAACCCTCACCATTCTGTGATTCTGTGATTACAACTGTTTCATAACACTGTTACAGGTTGATCCCAAAGGTCACAACTTCTTCTTCTTTCACAGACAATTTAAAGTCTATAGATGCATTATTAATTGGCTAGCTGTGCACATTTTTCTTGATAACAAAATCATTGGGTTTTTTCATCTTACGATTGTAGTTTACTAGCATCTAGCACAGTCTCTAAAGACTGAATAAAATCTCTGTCGTGCTGAAGTGACCCTCAAGATGCCAATGAAAAGTTCACAGTTGCTTTTTCCCCCACTGCTTAAAATACTCCATACTTACAC